TTTTTTGTTTTTTTTTTTTTTTTTTTTTTTTTTTCTTAAGTTATTTGTTGTACTACATGCTTGGCCAAGATGCTTGCTTGACTTTGTTCCAACTGCAGCAATTGTTAATTTCTTTTCTTCCTCGTCTGGCTGAAGTTTGTAATAAATGCTGTATGTCCAGATGGAAGTGCATGAATGGCTTGTTATATATTCTCTCTCAAAATTTCATGACGTTGACAGTTTTAGATTTTAAATTTTTAAAAAGGAGAGAAGTTAGTAGAATTTAATTTAAGATAATATTTTTTATGTTTGCAGCAAAGAAAGTAATTCAAACAAACCCAGTAATGAATGGAAGTCTTCACAAAAGCCTGGTACGACATAATTCCTACCTTTAGCCTCATTTATCAATACCTATAACGTTAGATGTTCACCCTGTTCTTTTGTATGCAGAAATTGTGAGCGATGAATTTGGGCAGCGGCAAAATAAGCCTCGTAGGTAAGTTCATATGCCCAACTGGTCCATGATATCATTTGTAATTGTAATTGCTGAACAAGATAAAATATACCCAACTGATCCATGTTGTCATTTGTAATTGCAAAACAAGATCCTCGTCAAAAGGGGGGAAAAGTTTAGAAAAGAAGAAGGGTTCAGTTTACCGTGGGACTTGTGCCATGTTTTTCTTGCCTTTTTAAAGAATTTTCTTCTTCCATGTGCAGATACTCGGAGATGAACTTCGGTCAATGAAGTACTTACATAGGATGGAGCTTGTTTGAATAAGCATTTAATGGTTTTATTTTGCCCGAATAAAACTTTGTGTTACTTTGGGGCTTTGGAAAATTCTGGGTTGTGGTAAACTGGTATCTCAGGCCTTCCTCTAGGTCCTTTGTGTTATCCGGATTCGTACTGGAGCACTTTGGGCCGCAATGTAGTCCAACATACATTAGGTATGGTTCTTACATCTATGCCCCTTGCTTTTTTAACATCTTGAACGGGTCATTTTAGAGTAACTTTTAAACCTAAGTTGAAAGATTAGGAGTGTTGCCATATTGCTGGACTACAAAACATCAGTCAGGATGTTTTTGCCTGGCATTTGCAGTATAATGAAGTATATTAGATATTAGCATATCTGATTCTCTGATCTTTTCCATGTTTAATGCCATTGAGCATTCCATGATTAAAGAAATCATTGCTGTGATTCCTTGCGTGCTTGTTTTTGTTATTGCTGGGTTGTAATTGTTTGCAACCAATTGGTACTTTTTTCTCCCGCGTGCTTACCTTTTGTCTTTTCTTTTTGTTCTTGCAGTTTTATGTGGCAAACGCCTGCTCAATTAAAGATCTCACTATTGCGGCTTGACAGGTGGCAGTTCCTCATTTAAATGTGCGGTAGGGATACATTGTAGAGTGTCGATTTTCAATGTTGCTGATTGAGATTGGATGGATTTCTTACTGTTCCTTTGGTTTTGTTGTTCAGGTTTTTTTTGTGGCTTGGTTTTTTAAGTGAAGCTTGTGAAAAATGTAGGCGGGCTTCCCTTTGATCTATACCCAAAAAAAAAAAAAAAAAGACCAATAGGTGCAAAATTATTGTGCAGAGCTGTTATCTTGGTGAAGTTTTTATTTTTTTTTATTTTTTTTCATTTCCTTCTATAAGTGGTGCAATTGGTTTCTCTATTCATTTTCTGCTGCCTTTGTGGTTTAGTTAGTTTTCCTTGTTTTGAGGGTACTTTTTCTGCATTGAGACTTTTCATGATAATATTGTTGGTGACTATTTTGTTGGGATTGTTTTGGATGGGATAGAATTTTACGTGATCAGGAAAACCCTTGGCACAGTAATTTGTATTGCTGTAATGAGTGAGTTGGTGTTTAATGCAAACTCATGTGACAAACTGCTGTTTTTTCTTTGCAATGCAAAAGGCTTGGCTATGATATGTTTTCCATCTTCATGATTGTTAGATTGCAAGCACACAATATTAGGTTAAAAAAATAAATGAATAAAAAGATTCAGAAAAGGCGCTTCCTATTCTCGGTAATGTGTCAAGAATCAATCAAGATGGAAAAGTGGATTGCATTGTTGATTTGATACTCATAATCTATCAGACCTTAGGAGGCCATGCTGATACACACGAAACTGTTCTGAAACGATTGCTAGCTTTGCACGCAAATCCAATTACAATGCACTTTCTTCTCACTGCTAAGTTTGAGTTTAGATCATCTCTAATGTAAATATGGGTAATCTTGATTTTCAAGTATCAAAATTTTTACCTTTTACTCTTAATACATAATTTTTTTAGTTAAATAATTATACTAATAAAAAGGCATTTATTAATAATAAGGGATAAAAGTCTAAATTTATAATAAATTTTTTATTTTTTTCTAAATATTAATGTTAATGCTATATTTGAACGTGAAAAAAGAATCTGAAAAATGTCATCTGATGTGTTATTTAATTTTCTATTTTAAAGCATATAAATATATATATATATATATAATATTTGTCATTGTTATTGAAGCTTTAAAACTAATAGAAGTGAATTCTTTTTAAAAAAACTTATAATTTTATTGATTAAATAAAAAGTCAAGTATATATCCATTTAATAGAAATTAAAATGTTAAAATATGACATGCTAGACTTGGTATCAAAAGTATAGAATATGTCAAATTTAATTCTAAAAATAGTACCATGGCTTTAGATTGATTTATTATTCATATGTCAAAGTTTAGCAATGGTTTTAAAATTCAAATAGGTTGTTGTAGTTTTCCCCTTGGATTTACATTTTTTAAGCTCCTACAAAAAAATTTACAATTTTTAAGTAAATATAATTTGACCAATCCATGCAAAAAACAAAAATTAAACAAAATTTGACCAAGTACATTGTCTTATTTATTAACCGCCATCATTATGACTAGATGATTGGTGTTGGTGCATATGTACAAGTGTTGCTTTGCAGAAGCGCCAAGCAATGTAGGCACTTTGTTTAAATAATAATAGTTATAATAATAGGTCTTTTCTTCGCAACCACCATGGTGCTATTAATAGTTGAGAAAAAAATCAGAAATATTACTGAAGGTTAAAATATATTATTTATATTATTTTACTTAAAAATAACTAATTGACATCTAATTAATAAAAAGAAAATAAAAGATCATAATGACACAATTATTTAAAATAAAGTTTCTAGTGTAATTATCTTCTGAATTTGTCGTGATTTAGTATATTGCTTCTTAAATTTTAATTTAGACAATCAACCTCCTGAACTTATAAATTATTATAATGTGCCTTATTTTATTAAATTTATTCAAAATTTTTTATTAAATTTAGAGGATTAAAAGTTGATAACTTGAAAAATTTGTGTTACATTTGAATTGAGATGTTGGAATATTTCGTCGAATATAATTTTTTGATACTAATTTAACACAATCATCGTCAAAATAGAATATATTGCAATAATTTTATACGTTGAAGGAATAACTTGCCAAAATTAAAATTTCAAGAAGCAAATTGTAAAGCAATATAAGTTGAGAGGGAAATGTGCAAAATACCCTTTTAAGATAACATAAATAATAAGTCAGTAACCTCTTGGCAAAAAAAAAGAAACAAAAAAACCCACCGACGGAGTCTTACTTTTTATATTTAAATTAACTTTTCAACGGTCAGATCTGCAGTATGAACAGTTCTGTATAGCGCGCCGTAAATTTTTAATATGAATCTGTACAAATTTAACCGTTAAAAAATTAATCTAACTATTAAAAAAAGAACTCCACCTATGAGGTAAAATGAGAGGTTGCACTAGAGGTGTCATGGACGGCCCGACCCCGCCCGTAATAGTGCCAGATTCGGCACGGCCCAGTTTGCTACTGTTACGGGTTGTGCCGGCCCGGCACGTGTAATGGGCTAGGGCTGGGCCTCAGCTTATCAGCTCGCAGCCTAAGCACATCCCTAGCCCATGGAGGCCCACGGCACGGCCCGTGTTCGGCCCAGCCTAAGTCCTGATTTAGCCCGGCCCAAGCCCGCGAAACGGCCCATGAGACAGGCCATTTCAAATGCTCAAGTGGGCCCTTCGCGGGCCTAACAGGCGGCACGTGACGGGCTTCCTGTTTGGCCCGTCACGTGCCTCCCGTTTGGCACGTGACGGCCTTCCCGTTAGGCCTGTCACGGGCCACCCATTGGGCCCGCGAAGGGCCCAACGGTAAGAATCCAAAAATCCACCCCAAAATCCACTATAAATACCCCTTAATTACACCCTAAATCCCACACAACAATTCACTCTCAACTTCTCATCTCACTCTCATTCTATCTCTCAACTTGTCTCTTTGATTTTGATTCTAAGCTCTTTTTCTCGCGTTCATTCATTTTCTTGCTCTTTCATTTACAAAGTTCTATCAATTTTCAAAAAATGGCTGCACCAAACTTCCCTGATATCACTGCTCTTCCTGAGCTTGGTGATGCGACATTTTTTGAGGAAGAAATGATGCCTCCCAACCCCACTCCCACTAAACCAGAAAATGCTCCGGTGGATAATGCTTCAGTGCACAACGAGGAAGCTGGAGAATGCAGCAGGGGAAAAATACCGCGAACTTCTCCGTTATGGTAGCATTTCACTGAGGAGCCCCGACCAAATCCAAAAACAGGTGAGATGAAAATTCGTGCGGGATGTAAATATTGTAAAAAATACTTTTCTAATAAAAAGGGTGGGGGTACTGGTCATCTGGATAGACATTGGAAAGTATGTCTACCATTGCACCAAGGTGGGAGTGTGGACTCCGGCAACAAACACTATCACTCACATCACAAGGTTACAAAATTTTACATACAATGCATAACGTGCTCGTGAGGCACTAGCTAAATTTTTAGCTAGTGCCGAATTGCCTCTTTCTTTTGCAGATGATGCGTGGTTCGAAGAATTCATCCAGACAGCCTTCTGCCCACAATTTAAACGGGTAAGTAGAAACACAACTCGTTCTGATTGCATGAAAGTGTTTTATGCAATGAGACAATCTTTTGTTGATAATTTTAAGATTTTTAATGCTACTGTCTCTTGCACTTCTGATATGTGGGAGGGTTGCAATAAAACTGGATATTTATGTGTTAGAGCGCACTACGTTGATGACGATTGGGTTTTACAAAAAAGAATAATTAGTTTTCGTTTATGTCCATATGCTAATAACGCATCATCTATTTTTAGTACAATAATAGAAATTTTTGGATTTTATGGGATAGAAGATAAAGTTTTAACAATTACTTTTGATAATGCGTCAACTAATACAGCTGCAATTAACATGTTTAAACGTAGTTTGAAACCAGTGTTTGCAGGAAAAATTTTTCATCAACGGTGTGTATGTCACATAATTAATTTAGTAGTTAAGGCAGGAATTGAATATATCTCAGCTAATCTTATAAATATTAGAGAATCATTATCATTCATATCTAGTTCTGGAGCTCGGCTCCAAGAATTTAAACAATATTGCAGGAACAGTCATATGCACCCAAGAAAGTTTCCAACTGACGTGAGACATATGTGGAATTCAACATATTTAATGTTAAAGGCAGCACTCCCGTATTCACAGCTCATCATAAACAGTAAGAACAATCAAATTTTAATTTTCGATCCTGATTGGTAGATTGCTGAGTATTTTTTTAAATTTTTAGAAGTTTTTACAATGCTACTGAATTACTTTCTGGAGTTTATTATCCTACTGCACATTTAGCTTTACATCAACTATTTAATATTTCAGAAACATTTTCTTATTATAGGGATATATAACTTTTTAGAAATATAGTTAAGTTAATGGAAAATAAATTTAAAAGTTATTAGTCAGGTTATCCTAGGTTATATGCATTGGCAACCATTTTAGATCTTAGGTGCGGAGTAGATGGAACTGAATCATTGATGACTGCTACCGCAGAGAATTTAGAAATAGATATGCAACTAACTATTACTGACGCTAAGAAAATGTTAGAAAAGGTTTCTAGTTTGTATGAAGCAAAATACGGCACAGGTTAAAAAGAACAGGGAACTTCGACGTCAACTAGCAGTGCGGGGCCTAAAGGATCGTCATGGAGTTTCTTGAAGAAGAAAGAGAAAACGGCAGGATCGTCATCAACACAAGCATCTACCGAACTAGTAAAATATTTTGAAGCAAATTTTGTAATCGATGACGACAAACTAGACATCTTACAGTGGTGGAAGAGCAAGACCGATCGTTTTTCAACACTGTCCGTAATAGCTTGTGACATTCTGACAACTCCAGTGTCAACGGTAACATCGGAGCAAGCTTTTAGCGCAAGCAACCGAATTCTTGATGAGAAGATAAGCATAATGCATCCAGATATCTTGGAGGGGCTAATGTGCGTTAAAGACTGGGAAGATACCAGAAGACGAAAATAACAATACACAAATGATTCAATGTAAGAATATTTTTCTAACTTAGAAATAACAGAATCTGCATCTTATTCTCTTCGCGAGAACTTCCGGATCGGAGAAGCATTCGGAACGGGCTTTGCGTTCATTTCGTTGGCAGAAAGGATCCAATCCATTCGGGGAAGAGAATAATATTATATTTATACATGAAAGTTTGGTCGACAAGAATTGCTAATTTTTGAGTCTATAAAAATGTTTCTACTGTCCATGTGACATTTTCTAAAGCTAAAATAGAAACAGAATAAATCAAATTGTTATCCCACATTTCGAACAAATTTCAATGTCAAAAGACAAAAAAAAAAAGGAAATAAAAAGTATGTTTGTTTTATAATTTAAGTTTTGTATGTAAGAGAATAATATTATATTCATACATGAAAGTTTGGTCGACAATAAAAATGTTTCACTGTCCATGTGACATATTCTAAAGCTAAAATAGTAAGAGAATAAGGCATCGTTCATTTCACCGATTCGAGTTTTCAGTTTTAGGTTTCTATAGTAAAAAGCTTTTAGAAAATGCCACATCTAACTTTTTCTGCTACAGTGAAAAGCTCTCAGAAAATGTCACATCTCAGCTCAAATTGAAAACTCGAATCCGCGAAGTGAACGAGACCTTCAAATTGTTATCTCACATTTCGAATAAATTTCGATGTCAAAAGATAAAAAAAGAAATAAAAAGTATGTTTGTTTTATAATTTAAGTTTTATATGTAAGAGAATAATATTATAAAAAAAATTTTGAATTTTTATAATAAAAAATACTACAATAATAAAATTTACGTTGTGAATTGAGTTGCGCAAAAAATAAATTGAGTTGCGAAAAAAATAAGGCCAAAAAACATCATGGTTCTTGAAGCTGGTGCGGTATATATTTTGAAACCTTTTTTATCTGGGGAATCGACTTTTTCTACAATACAATATGGATGCAATAGGCACATATAATAATGAGACTGCAAAAAGAAATGGTGATCATTGCTCATGATTGTGGCTTAGAGAGGTTTGGGCCATTTACTTCTGTGGAAGTACTAACTAGTATAGATGAAAGTCTCGTTCGCTTTGTGAATTTGAATTTTTAATTTGAGTTGAGATATAATATTTTTTGAGAGATTTTAACTGTAGTAAAAAAAGTTAGATATAATATTTTTTTAAACCTTTTAACTGTAAAAACTTAGAACTGAAAACTCGAATCGGTGAAATGAATGATGCCAAAATAACAATGTAAACGTATATTTTTGTCTGTGTTTTGTTGTTGAGGAATTTCATGGAAAAAATATTGTTCGGTTATGAGAATTTGCCCTTTTTTTATTATTATTATTTTAAGGTCTCGTTCAGTTTGTCGATTCGAGTTTTTAATTCGAGCTCAGATATGATTTTATATGAGAGCTTTTAACTGTAATAAAAAAGTTAAATGTGACTGTTTTTAAGAGTTTTTAACTATAATAAAACTGAAATTAAAAATTCAAATCGGTAAAATGAACAAATCCTATTTGTGTTAAATTTGCATATAATTTTTGTTTTATATATGATTTTAATGACGGTCACAATTGCGAATAAAATTTTCCTTATGTCCTGATACTGAATTTTTATATATTATTACAATATAATGGAGACTTAACATAGAATATAAAAAGAGAGGGACTGAATTTGCTTATTATGTTGTCTAATGTTTTAAGGAAACGCGTAGCATCAAATTATCAGGTTTCCCTCGATTGTTTTCAAGCCAAAATCAGGGGAATATGGCAAATGTACCTGAAAATTAGCTTGGGTCCTGACCCGGAAAGGAGAGAGAGAGACTCTGGTGGGTCCAAAAGAAAATAAAAATCAACAAAAGTTGAGACCCACTGACGCCACAGTTTAACGCTCGACCTACTTGATTAAACTCTCTTTCTTCAATAAGAGAATTAGGGCCCGTTCACTTTGCTGATTTGAGTTTGTAATTCGAGTTAAGATGTGATTTTGTGTGAAAACTTTTTACTGTAGTAAAAAATTTAAATGTGACTATTTTTAAAAATTTTTTACTGTAACAAAACTCAAATTCTAAATTCGAATCAGCAAAATGAATCAGCAAAATGAACGGGCCTTAATTAGAGAGAGAATTAGCAGAGCTGAAACAAGGTGAGCTCAAGGTGGCAATTACTCTCGTTTGTCCACGTGTGCTTAATCAACGCTGACATGTCCGATTGTGGACTCTAACGATAAATCATGGGAAACTCTCCCCGATCTGCGGACTAAGCGAAATATCGCGTGTCTTCCGGTGGTCAGTGCCGTAGCTGACCCTGCCCGTACGAGTTGACTCGCACGTGCGACAATATTGTATAAAAAAAAACAAAACTCTTCTCTCTCTCTCTCTCCCTCCTTTTTCTTCTAATTTCTTCCGTGTACTGATCAGTGCTTTACTTGAAGAAGCTTCCAAAGCCCTCTGCTCAGATCTTGAGCTCTCCGCTTTCAGAGCCTCAGAAAGATCCGAGCCGGCTTTTCTTTCGACTCAGCTGTCTCGTCGTCAGAACTCGCTGTCGGAAAGTTGCTGTCTTGTGTTGGATTGAAACCGTGAGTGTTCTTTAATCGAGGAATTTTATTTTAAATCTTTGACTTTGCGGCCGAGAATGACTGTTCTTTTTCAGTTTCTTGAGTTCTTGCTTTAAGTTCTCTGTCTGGTTGGTTACTGAGAAAATGCGGGAAAACGTTTTGAATGAATCAGTTTTGAGTTTCTGGTGTTTAGATAGAGTTCTGAAGAAATTTAGGGACTGTTTACGAAATTTAGGAGACGTTTAGTTATGGATTAGAATCACGAAATTAGAACCATTTTTAATTTATGTGTATTTTTTTGAGAGAAAACACTGTAACGAACTATGAATTATGATTCGAATTAGAGTACGAATCCTCTTATTAAACGTCTCCTTAAACTTTTAAGTTTGCTAAAGTCCTTTCTTTGCACGTATTTATTTAGGCCCCGTTCATTTTAGGAATTCAAGTTGAGTAAAAAACTCTTAAAAACAATAATATTTGACTTTTTTATTATTTAAAGAATTTTTCACACAAAATCACGTTTCAACTCGGATTAAAAATTCGAATTAACAAACTAAACGAGCCCTTATTTATTTCTTTTAAGCCAGTGGGTGAGAACTTTATTTTTGTTTTTCTTACTTTCTTGGACTAGATTTTTTTGTAGTTTTCAATTTTCTTAGTTATTATGGACTTCTGAGGACTAAATTTGATTCAAGTGTAAAAGGACTTGTTTTCTTGATTGTTTGGCTCTCCGGTTTGTTAGTTTTGCTTTCTTGTTTGTACAATGCAAGAAAGCTGGGGGAAAATTTTTTCAACTGTTGAGCTTTTTCAGATCTTCAGTAAAGATCGCAGGAGCTGAGAGAGAAAATTCCTTTAATTTTTATGCCTATAAACCTCAGTCACTTACATTTGCCCTCATTCTTTAGCTGCCTTCTACAGTTAGGAAAAAAAAAAAGAAACGGATTCATTATTTTTGCTCGTGTTCTCTTGGTTCCATAGGATAAAAAAAGGGGAATGATTTTTCTTATTTCATGTAGAATTGAAACTTGCCCAGCTGTTGGCGAATAACCAGTGGAAAGAGTTTCTTCTTCCTCTGCCGATTTTTGAGAAGTGAATACAATTGACACAAGGCAATATAATATAGTTTGAGAAATGGAAGAAGATAGCAAAATACTGGAGCTTAAGTCATTGAGGATAGGCGGTAGTTTTAAGTCCACATTGTCGGGAAGATCGACTCCAAGGAACTCTCCGTCCTTTCGAAGATCGCAGTCTAGCAGAACCCCTCGAAGAGAAGGTAGGGGTAGTGCAAGAGGTTTACAGTGGTTTCGCAGTAATCGGTTACTGTTTTGGTTGTTATTGATTACTCTTTGGGCGTATCTTGGATTTTTTGTTCAGTCTAGGTGGGCTCATGACAATGACAATGATAACGTCATGGGCTTCGGGAAAAAACCAAAGAATTGGAACTCAGAAACCGAACAGAATCTACGGCGGGATTTGATTGCCACTGACATTTCTTTGGCAGTTAAGAATGGGACAGGTAAAAATCAGGTTAGTGATGGTAAGAGGATGGATGTGGTTTTGGCCGGACGAAATGATGGAATTTCATCTCATCGAAAGTTAAATTCAAAGAAAAAGAAAACTAAAAGAGCAAACCGTAGTTTACGTAGTAAAGTGCATGGTAAACAGAAGATGACAATGGAGGTTAAAAACGTTGAAATAGAGGAGCAGGAACCGGATATTCCCAAGACAAATGCTTCTTATGGAATGCTGGTTGGACCATTTGGTTCTTTAGAAGATAGAATCTTGGAATGGAGTCCAGAGAAGCGTTCTGGAACTTGCGATAGGAAGGGGGACTTTGCACGCATTGTCTGGTCTCGAAGATTTGTGTTAATATTCCATGAACTTTCGATGACTGGGTCTCCTCTTTCAATGATGGAGTTGGCAACAGAGCTTTTGAGCTGTGGTGCAACTGTTTCTGCTGTAGCTCTTAGCAAGAAGGGTGGGTTAATGTCAGAGCTTGCTCGGAGAAGAATCAAGGTGCTCGAGGACAAAGCAGATCTCAGTTTCAAAACTGCTATGAAGGCTGACCTGGTGATTGCTGGATCAGCCGTCTGTGCATCATGGATCGGTGAGAATCAATCGACCACAATTTATAAATGTCGTTTTTTATCATTTAAAATGATTGAATTTAGTGTTTGCTGTGCAGGATGCATCATCTTAATCTTGAATCATGCCAGTATGGGATTTCATTCTTTGTACAGAAAATTTTATGATTTATAACGTGCTGAGTGTAGAGAAGTTACTTTTGATTTTTGTGTATCCAACATTGCGTCTTACACATGCGTACTTGAGAGTTTTCACTTTTGTTTTTTCCTTCAGGTTCTTTGAAGTGAAAACTTTTCAATATTCATTATGGAAGTATGAAAACTTCAGTTTTATAAGTCCATTCGAACTTCAAGATTAATTCAAGTTTGATGACTTTTTTATGCATTGCAAATTGGATCGAGTTTATCTTTCTTATAATATATGTGAACTTGTGGTCTATTGTTATCCTCAGAAAGCAAGGTCTTCAATCTTATTTTTGAAGCCAGTACAAGCTGCTAGTTGTTGCATTACATTTTTTGCATCTTTTTTCTCTTATGCTGCGAAGTGTAATGTATTATTCTATGGTTACCCTCCTCTGGGCATATTTATTTCCCTCCTCCTGAGATTAGTATATTAGAAGTGTTGCATCTGTTCTTTGATATTCGTGTGTGTTTTTCAGTCTTCTTCTACTGATGCTTTTATAGAACTTGCATATAAATTACATTAACAAGTACTATGTGGTTTCAGATCAATTTATCGAACATTTTCCTGCTGGTGCGAGTCAAGTTGCTTGGTGGATTATGGAAAACCGGCGAGAATACTTTGATCGGGCAAAGGTTGTTCTTAATCGAGTGAAAATGCTGGTTTTTATCTCAGAGTTACAGTGGAAACAATGGCTAGCTTGGGCTGAAGAAGAAAAGATTTATCTTAGATCTCAACCTGTACTCGTCCCGTTGTCCATTAATGATGAAATGGCTTTTGTAGCGGGCATTGCTTGTACGCTTAATACTCCATCTTTCACTACAGAGAAGATGATAGAGAAAAGGCAGTTGTTGAGAGATTCAGCCAGAAAGGAGATGGGCTTGAAAGATAATGATATGCTTGTGATGTCGCTGAGTAGTATAAACCCTGGAAAGGGCCAGCACTTGCTTCTTGGATCGGGACGCTTGATGATTGAGAAAGAAGCTTTTGAAGAAAAATCTAATATAAAAAATCCCGTGGATATAAAGCATCACCAGTCTAAGTCGACTAGAAAGCATCGCCTGAAAACTGTATTTCAAAAGTTGAATGGTAGTTGGTGAATCACCAAACGAATGTGCACGTATACTTATTCTATGAACCTCTTGACGTCCAGAGAAACTATTTCTCTCTAACTTGCTCCTTTGATGTTGCTGCAGGTTCTATGGCCTTTGGTGGTACTCATAGGAAGGAGATGTTAGATAGTGGGGGAATGCGTGAGCGGTCTGTTAAAATTCTCATTGGCTCAGTTGGATCTAAGAGCAATAAGGTGGTTTACGTCAAAGAACTCCTAAACTATTTATCTCAACACCCGAACACGTCAAAGTCAGTGTTGTGGACTCCAGCGAGTACACGCGTAGCTGCACTTTACGCCGCCGCAGATGTCTATGTCATCAACTCCCAGGTGAACAAGCTTTCAAGGGTTCCCCCCCCCCCCAATTCAAGTAAAATAGAAAGTGTAATTGGTTCAGACAGAAAACTAGTGTGGTAATTAATTTGGAAACGGTTTTCAGGGACTGGGAGAAACGTTTGGGAGGGTGACGATTGAAGCCATGGCATTCAGTCTACCGGTATGAAATTTTTCTTTATTTTCTTCCTTGGTAGTTAAAGTCTGCTGAAAATGAAACAAGTACTAGTTCTTGTTCCGCGAAATTTGAGCGACAGTCAGCTGAAAGAATTATACATCTAATGCTGAAAGAATTATACATCTAATATCTTCATTCTTCTATGCTTTCACAAATTCTGAATACAACAATTCTTGACAAGTTCTTCTCTGATTTCATTTTACTGAAAACAGGTACTTGGAACAGATGCTGGGGGCACAAAGGAGATTGTTGAGCACAATGTGACGGGTCTTCTTCATCCCACTGGTAGTCCAGGAGCTCCTGTTCTCGCCGGAAATCTCGAGTTTTTGCTTAAAAATCCTGTGACAAGGAAGGAAATGGGGATGAAAGGAAGAGAGAAGGTGGAGAGGATGTACTTAAAGAGGCACTTGTATAAGAAGTTTGTAGACGTTCTCGTCAAGTGCATGAGACCTAAATGATACGTACATTTCCACCGTGCCATTTTCAATTCTTTCATTGCTTCGGAATCTCAGGGTGCTGTGAATATCGAAAACCAATTTGCTCCTCAATTTGATAATGATGATTGATAACTGTGTTTAATTTTCTTTAGGAAATGAAATCACTTTTTTTCCTTTTCTTTTTTGGAGTTTCTCTAGTAAGATTGAAAAAAATTAATTATTAGTAATTCTCTATTTCTCAACTGTCATATTTATATCAGAAATTGTTCTGTTCTGAATTTATTTTTTTTTAATTTGATGTGATCTTGAGCAGATTCTGTTAGTTTTTGAAACGATTTCAAATGCGGAAGAGTGTAAGTAGCGGATTGTGTATAACAACAATTTTTATAAAATTTTGAGATACTCTATAGATTACATTAATTTATGCATGAATAAATTAATTAAATTAATTTATTTACTTAGCGAACGATTAGGTCGATAACTTGAGTTTTTTGACCGCGAGCGTTCCTTGCTCTAAGTTAGTTTAGAACACTTGAATTTTTTTTGTCAATTTTTTGAATCTACGCAGACGAATGTGTAGGTACACTTAAAATAAAACGAGATTAATAAATAAACATTCAAGTTTTTTCACGAATATCAACACATGTATGACGTAGAATTTGAGAAAAAAATTTCTTTTCCAAACACTCTAAAATTCGGCCACTGTGTGCTTATAAGAGCAAAAATTGTGTTCTCAAATTTTCTGTAATTTCTCATTCATAGAGCAGTAGTTGGACTCTCAAAAGGAGTATAAACTTTATCTTCAAGATAAAACTTGATAATTGTCTTGGACTTCTAATTTAATTTTGGAATAATATCTCTCTCCCTTATCCACATATTGGCCAGCCACCACAAGGAGATTCCTCCCTGTGGTAGGCGCATACTGCAGGTAAAGAATATGATAAAATTCTACATTTATCTTGCAGTCAAACTTAAATCAATTTGAATTTTAAATTGGACAACTTATCAAATAAGTCAAATCAATAACTTGAGAGCAAGCAACTAAATCTCAGAGGAATTCACACTGTAATGTGCGCTCACATCATGTGAACACATTCACATGTGTGTTTCAAAATTTAAATTTGAATAATCACATTTTTTAATTTATAATTAATTCTCAATTAATTTTTCTTGAGTATTTTATTTTAAAATTTCATAATTCTAAAATTCTCATTTTGTCCTTAGTGTCTTATAGGATTACAAGAATGACACGGGGACTCATGGACCTATAATTCTGAGCTCCAATAAAATTAATAATTAATTAAACTTTTTAATTAACTAATTAATTCTATTAATTTCAAAAGTTACTCCACTATAAACTTTGAATTACACTCTCGTAATTATAGACATAAGTATCATTTAAACTGTAAAGTGTTCATTTGATATAGTCATTACATATATATTAATTCTCCATAAATTATTCATAATTAGAGCTAGGTGAAATCTATTAATCTCTCTAATTACATCTTTATTCTTGAGTACCATCGATTCTCTAATAGACAGAGATTCATAAAACAAATTCATGAATCGGAGCTCCTACTGGTCTAAGTACCGAATCAACTCTCAAGAGAATTATTTATCTACTTCTTTCTCAAGAAAGAATGGATTCCATCTCGTATAATAACATTCCCGGCTACTCACTTCATCATGTCTCTAAAATATAAGGAATAAGATTTAGGATCTCAGAATTCGTACCGAATAAATCAAAAGATTTAAGAATATGATTTAGGATATTAATATATGCACATAAAATAATAAATAAACTCTTTTATTAAATAAATAATAAATATCATATTATATATCTTTTTTTTAAAAAACACCATTCCTTACAGATTCAATGGTTAGAAATTGGTTCTACCAGTGACTAAAAAAAAGGAGCATTTTCCGGTTCAGTAGGGGTGGGGTTGTGAGCCATCATTTCATCCTAAAAAAATGGCTCATCACCAAGCTCAAGAAGAACAGTGAATCAGGGAAGTTTGATGCGGCCATTTTCTGAAAATTGATTGAACTTAAACTTTGTAAATGAAAGAGCAAGAAAATGAGTGATCGTGAGAGAAAAGCTTAATCAAAAGCAAAGAGACAAGATGAGAGACCGACTTTCCCAGATGCCCACCACCGGCCCTTCTCCTTTCCGGGTCTGGATTTTTCGCGTCGTTTTAGTCGTCGTGGTCGACGGGGAAGAAAGAAATGAATGAATGTTCTTTTAGGAAAATGTAGAATAATACACCTACCGAGACGAAAGCCAAAGGTGAGTCTCGTAGGTAGACGTATCAAACCGAAATAAGATCTCAAATTGACATCTTGATACGAAGTTGAGAGTGAATTGTTGTGTGAGATTTATGGTGGGATTAAGGGGTATTTATAGGAGATTTTGGGGGCTTTTTTCAGATTGTGACCGTTGGGCCCTACGCGGGTGGTGGGTATTTTGGTCTTTTTAGGTGCCGGGTTGTGCTCGGACGCTTTTGCCCCTGCTTTCTTATTTTTTGTTTTGCCTCTGCCGTGGGTGTTTTCGTCCTTTCATCTGCCTTGAGCGTCTCCATCCTTTCGCCCCCGTGGAGCCTTAATACTCCTTCCCCCATTGATTTTCTTCTTCTCTACCGATTTTGCCCCCTTTTTTTCTCCCTTGTTATTCTGATTTGATTATACTTTGTTGCTTTATTTCTGTGGTTTCAGTGTGTTGGTTCTTCCGGTGGGATTTGGGTGTAAATTTGGGGGTTTTATTGCTTATTTTTTTAGGGTTCTTCCCCCGTTTACATTCGCAATTTATGGTCCATTTTCCCTCCGTTCTTGGTCCATGCCTCTCCGATTTCCATTTCTTGTTTCTTCCTTGCCTTGCTTTGTGTTCTTCGTTTCGATTTTTATGCGTTCTTTATGGGTTATATGTTTTCCACTTAATTTTTTCAGTTTTTTCCCTTTTTTCATCCCTGGTCTCTTCGTTAGTTGTTCTATATTGATTAAAGTTTTTGTTCATAGTTGTTTGTTATGTTTAATATTTTTCCCCTTCCTCTTTCGGTTTCTTGCTCTGTTTTTTCCCCTTTTTTTTTTCTTCCCCCACCTGCTTTCTTTGTTAGTTGTTCTATATGCATTAGAGCTTTTTCTCCATGGTTGTTTTTAATTTCTAATTTTTAATTTCTAATTTTTAATTTCTTATTTTTTATTTTTTATTTCCTATTTTCCCCTCTCCGGTTGCTTCCTTCGCTGCTTTATATTTATATATTATAGTATTTTATTTGCTAACTAATACTGCTTAGTTTAAATTCTACACAGGTTCGTTATCTTCTCCTTTGATGGATTTATTTGTGCAGGGATTTTATCTGTGTCGGTGAACTTTTTCTTGGCTGATTTCATGTCTTGTATGGGTAATTCTTGATTTTCCCTTCTTGGGATGCTTACAGTGGCCACTTGCTTTCCCCGGTTGACGGGCTGATGATTTGTACTGATTTTTTTATAGACACATTAAATGAATTGGTGATTTTTTATCTCTAAATTTTTTGGAATATGCACTAATTTTTGCTTTGCATTATCTAGAATCCCTAGCAATTTTAGGGGAAAAAAACCCCTTTGTACTTTTTTCTCTTTTTTTTCCCCTTTCTTGTGTTTGGTTTTTTCTGAGCCTGTTACTTTTTAAATTATTCCTAGGGCTGTATTGGTTTTATGATTTAATTAGGTAATTTTTATCTGCTAATTTTTCTGACCTTAGTGCACAATATTATTTGTTACATTATTAGACGTTGTTTATTGTTCATGCTGCTTTTTGACTCTTTATTTATGAATGCTGCTGCGTGCACGGATTTATTATGCATGTTCCTGTCTATTTCTCCCGCGCCTGTTCTATTATTTTTGTCGTTATGTTTTATCTCCCATAATTTACTATTTCATTCTATTATCCCTCATTTACTGTTCTGCTTCCTGACCTCTGCGTCTTTAACTATTTGTAGTTGCTGTTGTTCTACTCGTGATCACTTACTGTTTCATTTCACCATTCATCATTTACTACTCTGTTTCCTTATCCTTCTATCTTTGAGTGTTTGTGTTCACCTGTGGTTGGTTGATACCTACTAGTTAGAGCAGTATTTTGAGTGCTTCATGTACTATTAATATGTTTTGCTTATTTTCCCCTAACGTCATTAATATTTGCTTTTTGTTTGCTTTATTACTTCCGTCGATTTATAGCTTCACTATTTTATCCTTACTTAATGACATTGACATGTTTACTTGCAATTTATTTGCTTCTTAGCAACGTGCTTAGATACATGTCTTTACTTTAGATGTTTTACAATTAATTATCCTCTCTATTTTTTTCCCTTTTTTTCCCTTTCTTCTTGCCCTTTTTTGTTCCCCTGACCATCTTCCCCCTCCCTTTCTTATTCCCTCATGGCAATGATGATTATGAATAACTTTGACACCTTGAGTCTGATATGATTTGTCCAAAAATTATCGTGAATGTGATTTTTTCATTTTGTCCTGCTTTTGTCTACGTCATTTGATTCAGAGTCTTTTGCCGTTTCTTTTCCCTTATTTTTTGTTTATTCTTATGCTCTTACCTTTTTTGGACCAGTATTCAATTTACAAGTTATTTACATACATATATACATATATATTAGTTTCATTTTTCATTATTAAATCCTACTTTTTTCATGTGCTTTCATTTGCCAGTAGTATCCTTACATGATTTTGTATTATTATCAACTTCTGATATTTTTACTTCTACTATCTCAATTGATGTCTATTTGCCGTGAATGTGGGTTTTTCATTTTGTCCTGCTTTTGTCTACATCCTTTGATTTAGAGTCTTTTGCCATTTCTTTTCCCTTATTTTTTTGCTTATTCTTATGCTCTTACCTTTTTTAGATCAATATTCAATTTAAAAATTATTTACATGCATATATACATATATATTAGTTTTCTTTTTTCACTATATGCTTTTTTCCACGTGTTTTCCTTTGCTTATGGTATCCTTCCTTGATTTTGTATTATTATCAACTTCTGATATTTTTACTACTACTATTTGAATTGAGATCTACTTATCTGTATAACATGCTGTTCTCTTTTTTCTTTTGCCCATTCCTTTTTCTTTTGTTTTCCCCTTTTCTGTTTTGTTTCAGCCTATATCTTTTATTTACTTTTTATTTTCTGTTT